AGTAGAACTGCCCCATAGGGTTTCCAAAGAGCAGCTGGTGGATTTGAACTACCAACCTTTTGGATAGCAGCTGAGCTCTTAACCACCACGCCACTAAGGCTATTTATGTGTGTGTGTGTGTGTGTGTGTGTGTGTGTATGTGTGTGTAATCTAAAATTAAGCCACGCTATTTCTACTAACCAAAGTTAGGTCAGAAGAACAAGAAAGGATTATCTTCTTGATACAGATATTTATGAAAAGCATATTATATTGAAACTGAAAGTGACTTTAAAGGTGTAGAGCAGCCCCCCATTTCTCAGATGAGATGAGGTAACTGAGGCCTCAGTAAACTTAAACAGAGCTGCTCAAGTTCCCAGCCAGTTGTTAAGAACTAAGACTAGAGTCAAACTCTCCCTCCTTTCCTTATACAGCATGTAAAATTGTTGACAGGTGACAGATAAATTCTGAACACCTAGTGAGTATTTTTCACAAAGGAGGTCCTTCTAGAGGTTTCAAATAGTGAGTTAATTGTCCCACAGTTTGTGCTATCATAATTTCCCTCCTAGATTAGCCTGCCTCTAATCTTCTCACTCCCAAGCCACTCTCTAAAGCCTTGCTACTCAAAGTGTAGTCCGTGGACCACCAGCACCAGCCTCACTTTTTAGAAATGCAGAATCTCGGGCCCCTCCCCAGACTTAGTCAGAATCTTCATTTTAGTCAGATTTCCAGGTGGTGTTCGTACACATTATGGTTTGAGAAACTCTATTCTCAAGTAGCTACCATGACCTTTCTAAAACACAAATCTGATTATGTCACTCATCTGCCTAAAACCATCAATAGCTTCTCATTGCTCTAAGGATATCATCCAAACTCCTTATGTGAGTTGATCCAGCCTAGCCTCTTTAGGGGCAGTTATCTCTTTACCTTTTCATCTTCATCTCTTGAAAATGGAAACATAGCGCTGTTTTCCCACTGCCACTAGATTTACCCATCCCACCTATGGGATACCATGGCACATTTAGGGGTTATTACACTCTGCGATTATTTTCTATGTATTTGCCTGTTTCCCCCATGTAAGTGCAAATTCTGCGTGCACAACTATATTCTCAGCACTGAGTACAAAGTCCTCTACATATTCAAAGCCTATTAAATGAATTGGATGCCAAGAGAAGTAAAGCTCTAGACAGACAATACATAGTCGCTTCGACTACATCCGAGTTTAAAGCCCTATGCTGCTAAAACAGCATGCAAATGTTACCACAGAACCCTGCTGATAATCTTCCATAGCTCATGGAGAAAGGAGATTTGCCAGGTGACAGGAGACGAACATTCTCATCAAAAAGGAGATGAGTGGGTAATAAAACCACAGAACCAGAGACTTGCAGACAATCCCTGGCAAAATTGCAAGCCCAAGGATTATTAGTTGTGAAATATATTAGTTGGGAAAACTTAAAAAACATAAGTGATGATCACTAAGGGTTGGCATGTGTTGACTAAAAACAGATTATGCTAAACTGGTGCCATTCCCTTTTTTGATGGGGTTACTATATCACTCCCTAAATTACGGGAATGATAAACACATGATACTTGTTGATTTCAAGGAGTCATTTGCCATGTTTTTCTGACAAATTTCTGAAACAAGGCAGAGACTTCTGGACTGCATAGTATTGAGATAGGTGAATTTTCATTGGGGAACATACAGAAGGACTGGTGATTGAAAACGTGATATAAAATGTGGGGGCAGTGTTAGGTTGAGAATATTTGTGTGTAACTATGTTCTTATTCAACTTTTTAAAATCCACAAATGAAGGAAGGCCGTCTAATCATATTACAGTAGTAGAGTGCTGAGAAGGCCTGTCAGGAAAATAGGCTAAAACCAACAAGATGAAATTCCACAGAGCTGTATGCAAAGTCTGTCTTTAGATAAGAGTATATACAAATGGTTATACGGATTAAATGGTTGGGTTTTACTTGTGTTCAGGCTTAGTATGAGCCATGGGTATCCAGATAGAGGCATATGGGAAGCCCACCATACTCAGAACAGGACATATCACATCTAGACTACTGTGCCTCATTCTGCATGCTACATTTTGGAAGAGACACTGGTACACTATAGAATATCCAGTGGAGGACATTGTGAAAGAGCCAGGGTTTGAAATGGTGCCCTATGAGGAACATTTGTAGAATCTTGGGATTTAGTTGTTAAACAGGAGAGAAATTGAGTCTATCTCAATATATTCCTGTGAGTAGATTGCAATGAATAAAGGTAGATTTGGGTTTGCCATAAGGAAAAACTTTGTAGTGATTAGAGTTTACAATAATTGAGACTAGGTACTTGTCTGTTTTGTTAGTACCATATCGTCACAGTCCTAAGCATATACTAAGTGTTCAGAAAATATTTGTTGAAATAGTTTTAAAAGGCAGTGGATCTCTTGACAAAGCAGCAAGTTCTGATATATTAGAAATGATCAGACAAAGCTGGAACAGCATCCATCAGGGAGGCTATTGGTAGACCTTTTGCACTGGCAGAGAATGGACTAGTTGACCTGTATGGTTCTGAGTCTATGGTCCAAAGCACTTCATTCCATAGATGCACTACTGTTGAAATAGTATTGTTAAGCATGGTGGAAGCTGACTGCAAGTTTTAACTGGGAAGATAGTAAATACGGGTACATAACTAAACATAATTTACATTGATGTTTATAGCCAAGAAATGCAAAGTTCTGGATTTTCCCACATAACTCTCCTAGAGCCCGTGTGCTGTCATTTTT